TATCCAGATGAAATGGACCGATTCCTTGAAAGACACAATCTGTCAAAACTCACACAAGAAGAAACAGATAATCTGAATGGGTACATACCTTTTAAATCAATTCAATCAACAAGTAATAATCTTCCAAATCAGAAATGACAAGGCCCAGATAGATTCATTGGTGAATTCTACCAAACACTTAAAGTAGAATTTCTACCAATTTGCTACAATCTCTTCCAGGAGATAAAGCAGAGGGAATGAGTCCTACCCATTCTATGAGGCCAGCACTGACATAAAATACCAAAACCAGTCAAAGGCATTACAGACCAATATTTCTCGTAAACATAGATCCAAATATCTTCAACAAAATACTAGCAAATGGAATCTAATAATGTATAAAGAGAATTATATATCACAACCAAGTGGGGTTTATCCCAGATATGTAAGGTTGGTTAAAATTTGAAAATCAGTTAATATAATCCATCACATCAATGGGATAAATAAAAAAATCACATGAACATATCAATAAATACAGAAATTCATTTGACAACATCCAATGTCAACTCCTGATAAAAACTCTCAGTAAACTAGGAATAGAGGAGACTCTCTTCAACTTGATAAAGACATCTACAAAATCCTGATTGCTAATATACTTAAAGGTGAGAAACTGAAAGCTTTCCTGCTAAGATCAGGAACAAGGCAAAGATATTGCTTCTTATCACTCCTTTTCAACATTATACTGAAAGTCCTAGATAATGCAATAAGACAAAAAAAAAGAAAAAGCATACAAATTGAGAAGGAAAAAATATAGCTGTCTTTATACTCACTTATGACATTATTGTCTATGTGTAAAATCCAGAAGAATTAGCAACAAAAATCCTGGAAATAATAAGTGATTATAGCAAAGTTGCAAGTTACAAGGTTAATGTACAAAAGGCAATTGCTTTCTACATACCAGCAATGAACAATGGGAATTTGAAATTAAAAATGCATTACTAATTATATTAGCACCCTTCAAAATGAAATACTTAGGTATAAATCTAAGAAAATATATAGAAGATCAAGATGAGAAAAACTACAAAACTCTGATGAATAAAATCCAAGAAAAATTAAAATTAAATAGATGGAGATAGTCCATGTTCACAGACAGGGAGACTCAATATATCAAGGTGTTGTCAGTTCTTCACAAGTTTATAGATTAAATGTCATCCCAACCATATCCCAGAAAGGTATTATATTTTGTGGATCTGACAAACTGATTCTAAAGTTCATATGAAGATGCAGGAGACCATGAATAGTCAACACAATATTGAAGGAGAAGAACAAAGTCGAAGGACTCATCCTATTCAACTTCCATGACTTTGGTTTATAGCTGACTTCAAACATTAAGGCTGTATAATACAAGGAATTTCCCAATTCTTTGCTCAATTCTCTTGAACTCCACTTCTTTCCTCCTGTCTTGAATAAGCATATACTCCTTAGGCCGGTCGAGTGGCTCAGTTGGTTAAGAGCTTGCTCAAGAGTTTGAGCTCTGAGCAACAGCAGTTCGAGTCCCGGCCCAAGCTGAGCAGCTGCTGAACTGCCAACAGGTGGCAGGATGGCTCAGCTAAAAAAACCCAAAAAACCAAAAAAACCCCACATACTCCTCTGTGGTGCGAAGGCAAATCCCTCCATGTAGCCATACTCTCACACAGGTGTTCTTACTTTCTCACCATCAGCACTGGTGTTCTGCATAGCTTCTCACTTCAGGACTCAGCTTCATCGATTACTTGTAGTTGAACGTCTACACTCACTCGTCTACACCAAATGGTTACCCTTGGGCAGGCATGCACCAGCACTACCTGGAAGGTGTGATAAAGCAAGACCAGTGTCCTCACTCCCAGAGTTTTTCGTTCAGTAGGGCTGGGTGGGGCTCAATTATCTGCATTTCTCGCAAGTTCTCAAGTGATGCAGATGATGCTGGCCTAGGGAGCACATTTTGAGAACCATTGCTCTTGAAGATGAGCAAAGGCCACTTTGTAGCAGAATCAATTGGGATTTTCTGTGTTGTGAACTTTATTGCTATGGTGTTCAAGATTCATGATCTCCACCATCTTGCTCCAGCCTTTATATCCTTCATATATATCCATTATACATATACGTATATGTACATATGTGTATGTGTGTATATATGTATGTGTGTATAAATATACATATGTATGTATATACATGTATATATATATATATGTATATATATATATCCATTGTATCCTTCATGCATCCCCCGACCTGACTGAACCAGTAACTTTTCTGTACGTGCTCCATGCCTTGTGACATTCCCTCTGCCTATAGCATCCTTCCTCACCTGCCTTTCCTTGTTCAAATACACAGTTTACATCTCAGTCCCATTCTAAATGCCACTTCCCGTGGGAAACTCCCTGAATAGCCCAACTCCCAGCCAAAACTGATCCTACCAGTTTCCTCCTCTGAATTACCTTAGCAGCTCACCTGTATATCTCCTATTCAAGGGGATAACAAAGGTCTTTTGGGAGCCTAAAGCTTATATAATTTGGAGGGGGAGCTTTTTCCAAGAATAAAGATTAAAACTATAAATACAAAATTAGGCACAGAACCTTTGAAGGGGTTCAGGCGGTGAAGTTTCCTGAAACTTAAGCTTTGTTAGCTTCGCAATAAATCCGCCTCAGCTCTTACTGCATCTCATACTTCTCTCAGTTTAGATTGTCATCTTCTGGGACATATTCTCCCTCCCCCCTTCCATCCCTCCCTCTCTCCATCTCTCCCGTATTCTGCTCCTTCTTTTACTTCTTTTAAGAGAAGCAGTGGCAACTTGTGGGGAAAAAAAGCAATAAAGTCAGACAGACCTGAGTTTAAGACTCCCGTTACTTCACTCACTTAATTGAACTTCAGCTTTTTCCACTGTGCACAAAAAGGGTAATAATATTTACCTCTGGAACAAATGTGATAACAAATAAAGGTCTTTAAACAATGCTTAGGGCATAATAAGCACTCACAAAACATTAGTGTCCCTCTTTGGATGGCAACATCCACAGCCTTATGTGGTTAATTTTTAATTCCCTCATAGCACCTAGACAGTATCTTGCAAAGAATAGTTACTGAACACATGTGGTCTGTTTTCTGTCTATAGGTTCAGAGAAAATGAAATGCCTGCACATGCTGTTTCTTCCTCATTTTATAGCATCTCTGATTACTACTGTCACATCAGGGAAACTATGCACAGAAATGAGGACTGCAAACTCTGTCACTCTACTAGGACTTGCTTGGATTTAACTGAGTGGGCAAGTGAACATGAGGGAAGCTGAGAGATGAGAGGATGTCAGGAAGAAGGAAAGCAAACCATTTACCACAGCTTTACAGCTGGTTTATATCAATCTATTGTTGCTGTTGCTTATAACTTGATGACAGCACTTCAGGCACCCATCCTGGTGACCCCAGGGTGGCATTCACTGATGTGTAAAGCAAAAGACAGTAATTAATTATGCTTTTTTCAATGCAACAGGGCAGGGGACTAAGGCAAATCATTGATATTACACAGTTCTAAAGCATAACTTTAACATTTCTCCGAGTTCAATAATGAAGCAAAAACGTCAAAAATGTCAGAAATTTTATCAGGGCTGTGATACCCATAAACAATCTCATTCTAATACCAGGGGCAAATTCAACCTGAAAATCTAAAGTCTTTCCATTTATGACCATTTAAAGTGGTTCTCTCTCAAGAAAAGAAAAAAAATCCAAGTCTTTATAATGTAATATAAAGAAATATAATAGAGTGTGAATTTATTTATTCTAACTATAAGATTAAAAAGGAGAGTCAACATTTCCAGTGGGCTCTTTTAATCCATTTAGCATGGTATGCAGAAACTTTTTGTTCATTCTATACTTTTTTTTCACAGAACTTTAACCAGTGCATTACATTATCAAATATTCCCAAACCCATGGGTGAAAGCAAGTCATAACAGATGTGGCGATAGTAATGGTGGCATAACAATCTTTACTGACCATTATTTCAATAGTTAAAAAAAAATCTCTGAAATTAAACCACAAAGACATGAAGTGTTTAAATTCAGCTTTCATAAGAAATGGCTCTCTTGTATTTTTTTAAAAAAATTATTAAATTTTGTATTCTCTCTTACCTAAAAAAACAATCAAAACAATAGAATGCTCCTGTGTAGATTAATAGAATGGCCTACATTATAGGATTTAAAAACAATATGAAATATTTATAGAGCATGAAATGTAGGGAGAATGACCATCTCTTTCACCAAAAATCAAAAATGACACACTGGAAATTTTGACTCACCTTTATAATCTTACATTTAGGATAAATAAATTCACATGCTACTAAAATTACTGTTTTTAAATACTTCTTTATATTACATTATAAAGGATGGGATTTTTTTCTTTATTTGACAGAAATCAGTTTTAAATGGATATACGTAGAAAGCATGGTTATTTTTGTTTATTAAATAATAAAATTTTGCTTACTAAATTATTGGGAAAAAAATTACTCCATACTTTGATGAAAACACCAACTAAACAAACAAGCTGAAAAAAGCTGAGAAAAAAAAGTTCCACTTCTTTGACAGAGTGTAAATTAGGTAAAATTGAATAAGATATTATATGAAGTCAGCAACAAAATATTTCTCTTACCTGAAATGAAAGATAGTTTCAAGATGTAAAATCTAAAGCATGTTTTAATTTTGGTTTATTTAATGGCTTCTTCAGTTAGTAAACTAGTAATCAGTTTATTACTTGCAGATACTCTGCAAGTGAAATCACATTTCAAATAAACCTGTTATATAGATTCAGGTCTCTGCAAACTAAATTTCATATGGAGAAAACAATGATACCATATAATAATAACTTGAAACCTGTATGTTCAATATGGATCTGAGTCTACAATAATGGTGTTAGAAATGGATTCTACTAACCCATCCGTCTAGATTACTAAGATTTGCTTACTGAACATGGGTCTAACAAAGCAAGAAATGTTTAACTCTCACCCTCTGGCCAGGACTTATTGAGAAGGAAATGTTCTCTAATATGGCATTCCCACCATCTGTATATTTTGCCGTGAGGTCTTTGATGGTCATTTGACCCCCTGAGGGCCAGATGTCATCTTTCTTCACGTGCTGATTCTCGATAATCATAACTTCCGAGAGCGGGCCATCCTTGTGTGGTTTGACTGACTTGGTAGATTTACTTTCTTCAGTTGGCATGTCAATAAACGTAAAGACTCGGCTCACAGATCGCATCTGAAATGAAAATAACAGCATTTTATTATGTTTAAGAGCTGCAGGCATAATGAGATGTTTCCTAAAGAAGAACTTTAGATGTGACGCTAGGTAGTCGTTACTTGGTTATTTGTCAGCAGGTTTTTCAAGGAAGTAACAAGAAATAATTGGATATAATTAAAAGGTTAACCAAAGAGAATCAACTAGGACTTATATAAATGGATTTTTAATAGATCTGTTTATTTTTGTGATCACTTAATTCTCAGTTATGCAAGCTGCACATAAATAGCCAAACCATACTCAAGAGAATAGATGATGTCAAGGGGAAAAATTGTTTTCTACTATGAGCAGCAAAATGAACAATGTTGCACAACTGGTATGTTACAATAAATTGCTCTACATCTCAAAACTACATGTTACAATAAACTGTTCTACATCTCAAAACTACTACGGAAGATTCTTGCCTTTCTTTCGAACGGACTTCATAACTGTTTATGATTCTGTATGTCAGCTGGAGGTAAGTGGACTCTTGTCACTTACTAAATTTTGAATAACTTCACAATAATCCAAACAAATTTAAGTCATTGGCATATATCTGCATGTCAATAATTATATTTTTAATCTAAATTAAAGATCAATCTCTTGCTGAGCAAAATGTGACTGTGTATAAGGGTTGCATTTGAAATTAAATATACATCTCTTTATAAACTTATTCATGTAACATCTAATAAAGACTATCTTTAATGTACATAGAAATAAAAGAGCTCAATTATTTTTTAAAGGTACTTAGTTAAATTCTTTACCAAGACCTGTTTATTTCTCTCAATAATTATATGACTTATTGGAATTTGGAATATGATTTTTAAAAATAGCCTGGCATACAAAAGGCTCCCAGTAAATGTTTCTGAAAAATTAATTAATGACTAAAGGAGTAAATATGCAAATGATCAAATATGTATGAATAAATATTGAATAAGAAGAATGAATAAGAAGACAAAAATTTAAACTGTGAATTCATTCAATTTGTGTTGTTAAATGATATTACCCTTGACCCTGTGACTCAGCCCTTCCCAGATGTTCACAGCTCACTGGACAGAAATTTAACGCTTTTTTGTCTTAAAAGTAATTGTTGATTCTTGGCTTTACTCAGTCAAGAATTTATCCTTCTCTTTTACAATGTTAATGTATTATTTTATTTATAGTTAAGACTTAGATTATTAGAAATGATAATTTTTGCAAAAAAAGGGGTAGGAAGAAATACATTTGAGGCATTTACTTCTAGGATTTCTATTTTTCATTATCTAAAGGTTAAATGGGAAAAATTCTTTATCTCTAGTGTGAAATGACTGGTAGATGAAACTGAAGGATTTAGATATTAACCCTTAAAAGTTCCCGCTTAGCACATCTAATTGCCTGTTTTCACAAGCTGTTGAGCCAGCCTGTTGTTTGTGGAGTTCTTTCTTGTAGCTAATAAGTCTGTGCTTCACTTTCCTTCATCTTGAAAATACCTTGGAATTATCATCAATAATTATTCAATGTTCAAGAAGAGACTCCTTTTAAACCAAACATTGTTAATGGAAAGGAAAAGTATGCAAAGCCCACCCACATCCATCATAAATAATTCTGGGAGAAGTGAAAGGCATGTAATCACTGTTGCTCCCACAGATAATATTTTAAATTCCAAATTATGAGTGATTTTGTGGTGTTCTTAAATACTGATTCAATTATGTTTTTATTAACTTTGAATTAAAATATGGACCTGCATTTCACTGTCATTAATTTTCCCAGGATGCTGCTTAGCCTATATAAAGTCTGGAAGATAAATCGGAATTATAACTACTACTGAGATGGAACTTCCAGAGAAATAGTTCAAATGCATTTAAAATACCTTATTGTATGTATCCTTCATAAGCATAATATCACTCTCTTGAAGTGAGAAATTTAGAGAAATGCAGAAATGTAGCTTCACTTTATAAAATACAGTTGGAACGGTTGATATTTCTGTGTCTCAGTGCTGTGGAGAAGTCCAGACTCGTCTTTGTTAAGTGCTTTAGAATGTCAAGAGAGACATTGTGTAACAAAAATCCTTTACTTTTTATTTATTTATTTATTTATTTATGTTTAAAGATTTTATTGGGGAATTGGGGAGGGGACCAGCATTAGGGAATCGGGGAAGGGGAACAGACAAGTTGCTGTCCTTTTTGTTCTTCAGTCTAGTTGTGGAGGACATTGCTTCACTGGTCCATGTTGGTATTATCATTGTGCTCTTCCCGGGTGAGGCAGATCGGTCGCCAGCCTCTGGACGGCCACTCACAGCAGCTCTTGGCAGTTCACACCAGCTGACCGCCGCTCACTCTGGCTGCCGACCACACAGGGTAGCTTTTGGCAGCTCACTGCAGCAGGGCCTGCAGCCTATGCCGTCGCCGGTGACTCACGGCAGACCAGCTCCAGGTCGGGCTGTTGTTCACCATCTTAGCTGTAGAGGACGCAGCGTCACTGACCCTCATGTGGGATCCGAACCAGGGCCCTGCTGCTCATAGCTGGCATCCCAAGCCATCTCTGAACCAATGCGCCACTCGGCCGGCCCTAAATCCTTTACTTTTTAAAAGTTCCAAATAATCAATAAAACATTTAAGTATTGCTATTAAACTACTCAAAATTATATGCAGTGTTATTAGAAAATGACATTCAAAAACCACAATTTGGGCAGCACTGAAATGGAGCATATAATTTTTGCTGTATGAATTTATGTTTGAGCCCATCAGGTTACATTCTTCACTAGCGAGGCTAATTTGCCTCAGAGGGGGACTCCAGAACTGCTAATGTCTAATGTGGCAAATGGAATATATCTATCAAATTTAGAAAAATAATATTTCACCTTTCACCTTTCATACAGCCTAGTTGTTTAAAGTGACCCAGGATGGAAGGTTGTGGTTGCCCAGAGTGTGGCCAGGTTACCTTGACCCAGAACAAGTAGGCAGCCTTAACAATGGGAACTCACCACAGCCTACGAGCAGAGATATTCAAGTCAATGGGTTAGAACATTTTCAATGGGAAGAAAAGGTGGCTCGGGCAGACACCGCATTATGGTCAGCTTTGCAGCCACTGAAATGCCATTGCTGAACAGATGATATGGCCAGATAATATTATAAATCCCTAACGAATGCCTTGTACCTCCCAGGCTCTCCAATTTGCACATTTTACTTCTGCTGCCTCTTGAAGGAGAAGGTACATCAGAACCAGAGCAGAGAACATCAATTCTGATCTTTCAAGTTTCAAAAATTGGCTTTTGGAGTCAGAGGTTGAGAGTTTGAAAATGTCAAGCCACGTGAATATTGGGTTTTAAGCTTCAAACGCAAAACCCTGAAGGACGCAAAACACAGTGTTTATGCAGAAATGGTAGCCGTAGGTGAACTTATATGAAATAGAAACAGCTCCTCTCCCCACTCCACAACCTGACTCATGAATGAAGGTTAACAAGAGGGCCGAGACACCAGTACCTCTAAAGAGTAGTCCTGCCTTGCAACCAAACATTGGCTTTATTCTCAAGTAGATTTGGGGGATTTTAGAATGTAGGAGGCCTGTGCCTCAATTCCAAGGTGGAGCCAGGAAGCAGGCATGCTTTAGAGAAGCTTCCAGTGCCTGGCATGGCATGGGAGCAGTGGAGTGGACATGGTTGCTTGGCATGGCTAGACACAGATTACATCACATCAGATTTCCTTGTATTTCCAGAGGGGGCTGAAGGGAGGACAGATAATACCAATCCTTTGAGCTCTCAGGTTCCTCCATGACTTAGGCATGGAGGAACCTGAGAGAGAGTTCATCAAAGTAGAGCTCACAGTCAGGACAAGGACAAAGACTCAATCTGACTGGACTGTACACCTCTAGGTCTGATGGGAACCTCAGTGCCTCAGACACAGTGACATGACAAGAGAGAGAGCCTAGGGCCAGATGCGTCTTCCCCCTAGTATCTTGGCATTCTGAAAACTCCCCTCAGAACTTAGATCCACTTCTAGCAAGATCTCTGAGATTTTTTCTTTTCCTCAGTGTTCAAATGGAAAATGAATTCAACGATAGCAAAAGCAAAAATGTAGTTTTTGAACACTTGATTTCATAGCCAAAGAATCATAGCTGCAACCAGAGATGGACCCAGGTTTTGTGGATCCTAAAACTTAAGTAATTTAGGGCCGGCAGAGTGGCTCAGTTGGTGAAGAGCTTGCTCAAGACTGCGAGTTCTGAGCAACAGCAGTTCGAGTCCTGGCCTGAGCTGAGCAGCCGCTGAGCTGCCAACAGGTGGCAAGATGGCTCAGCTTAAAAAAAATAATAATAAAATAAAAAAGATAAATAAAACTTAAGTAATTTGGGGGGTCTCTTCTTAAGAAAAACAGTCAGAATTATGCATATATAATTAAACATATGGCCTTGGAAGTGAGAGGACTTGTAGACTACATTTTATGAGCTTCATGTTAAACTCACTGTGCCTATAACCTTAGTCAAAGTATTCCTTGTTAAAGCCTCCCCATTAGTGCTTAGCTTAAAACATCTTTGTTAATCGTGAATGAATCCATTGCTCCCCTCACATGCAGAAGCAGTGTCTGCATAGGGAGAATGGCAGTGCTGGGGTACTTTAGCAGGCAATCTAGGCTGCAGCTGCACCCCTGCACTTCTTGGCCTGAAAATATACATTGCTATTCAGATTACAAGGAAGTTCCCACACACCCAATTATGTTTAGTCTCATCTTTTGTTTTCATTGAGCTTTTTAACCTAAGTTAATTCTTTCTCTAATTTAGAATGTCTACTAAACATTTTCAAGTGACATGTGAAAAACTGCTGTGCCATCATCGTCCAGCTGTCTAGATTGAGCTGGATGGAAATTCAGATTGGGCAATTATCAGAGTGACTGTGACCTGGCAAACTTCTAACCTTAGCTGCTGCTTCCTGTACATAGACAGGGTTGTCGGAGAAGTAAGGAAGCAGCTCTGTCTAGCCCACTGATGGCAAACTTTGATTGCAGCCATCC